CCCCCCCCCCCCCCCCCCCCCCCCTCTAGCTCCAGCCCCCTGCATTAGAGCCCCCGGAACAGCACAAGGTACGCACTTGTGGAATAAGCAATCCTCACTGTGGCCACAAGATGGCATCACCACCCCATGCTCCACATAAGAAACTGATGCATTGAGAGGGTCGTCCAGTCCCTTGTCACCAGGCCTTAACTGACAGAACGGGACTTTCGTTCAGGCCTGTCACATCCTAACCTCTATGCCCCTCTGTCTCCCCCACCCAGACTTTGTGAAGGTCTCTGGGCAGGGAACGGGCCTGGGAAGGCCTAGTGCTCCCTGCCCCGCCAGCTTCCAGCCTGCCTGCACTGAGCAGCTCCTGGCCAGATGACCTTCATATAGGAAGAATTGTAGACTACAGATTCTGCGAGGCACAGATGGTGCCAAGAGCCCAGGAGGCCACGAGGTCAGCGAGACGAGGCATAGACTAACCCGGACGATGCGGATCCTGCTGTGGGCAGCGTCCAGGGTGTCGTAGAAAGCCTGTACCACCTGCTGGAACTCCCTGGTGTTCTCTGCCAGATACTCCAGCCTACCCAAGGGCCCTTTCAGCCTCTGCTCTGGCACTGACACATAGGGAGAAAAGGGGTCAGGGACATGCCTGGGGCACTAGCCCTTGCCAGCCAGACCATCCCACCCTCCCCCAGTCGAGGATGCACACTCACAGGTGGGGCCTGAGGCTGCCAACGGAGAAGCCAAACTCTGATCCCAGGGGCCATCCAGCAGGGCAGCTAAGTGGCGGGCCGCCCGTGTGGGCTGGGCCTCAAAGCCACAGAGGATGGTGCAGTCACCACGCAGGGCAATGCTCACACCATGGCACTGCTCCAGGCGAGCACGCAGTTCTGCGGGCAGCTCGTGGCCCCAGGGTCCCACCGTCTCCTCCCAGAGGTGCACCTCCAGGGCAGCCTCTAGTGCCCGCTCCAACTCATCCATATCCTGCTCAAAGGCCGCGTGCACCACCAGCTCAGCCCTGCCACCAGCCACCCCACCCAGGGGCTCTTCTGCCTCCAACAGGGGCTGCTCCAGCAGGGAGAGGGCCAGGGCACGCTGCAGCGCAGCAGCCTCCTTCTGCTCAGCCTCCTGGCCTTGAGGACCCAGGGACCGGTGGAGGGCCAGCTGCAGCGCAGCCTCCTCCTCCAGCTGCCCATGCACCCCAGTGCTGGGGGCCACAGGCTCCTCCCTGGTCCTGGGTGTGGGCTGCTCCTCCTGCTGTCCTGGAGCCACGACCTCCTCTGGCTGCTGCTCAGGTTCGTCCTCCCCCTGCTCCACGGGCTGCCAGTCCTCTCCATCCAGGCCCTCCAGGGTGGCCAGTAGCTCTCGGACCTCCTCTGGGTGTAGGGAGAGGTCACTGGGTCAGGGGTTGGGCCCAGGCAGGATGGCACCGAAGGATAGTATAAGTTAGAATGGGTGAGAGATGGAGAGTGAGTTTGGGGGTGCAGAGAGGGCCTGGGAAGCATCATTAGACAGGTGGGAGTGTGGAGCAGGGCAGAGAGTGAGGTCAAGTAAGGGTCACAGGACATATAGGGTCTCCAGGGAGCCCTACCCAGGTTCATATTCTCCTGGTCACTGCCTGTCCTGTCTGGGGGCCACAGGGTATGGGCGTGGCCAGGGAGGACCTGGAGGACCTCGGTGGGATCCACCTGTAGGGAGAGGATGTCAGGGTTACCAGCCTCTGGGCAAGGGTAGTGGAGGCCCCTGGGGCTGTGGTGGGAACTCCATCTCTACCTCTTCAGGGTCTGTGCCCAGGGTGGCCCTGGCCAGATGTTCTGTCCCAAAGACACACTGGAACTGAGCCTCCAGACCCTGGAGAAGGCGCCGCCCCTCCGGGCCCAGCAGGAACCTGGCGCTGCCTGGGTGCTTCAGGCTCAGCATGTGGCAGCTCATGCTGCCCAGCAGACTCTGCAGAAACTCTTCGGCCGCCTGGCACGGGGCTAGGGCTCCACAGAGCTGCAGGACCATGGGGGAGGTGCAGTTTGCAGGTTTAAGTCACAGGAAAGATACCCAGAGCCCCCAGAGGGAGGAAGGGGCCAAAGGTGAGGAATCCTGGGGGGTCACTCACACGAAAGCCAGTCACATCCGTTCCTTCGAGTGGGAAGAGGGCGACGTCTCCCAAGCCAGCAAGAAGGTCCTCATGATAGAGCTGCAGGTAGCGCATCGCCCCCGGCTCCATCGACAGCACCACCTCCACCAGGCCCTCCTGCTCCGGCAGCCCCACACACCCTGGGCCCACTGGCCCTACCTTCTCCGGAGACCCTACGGCGATCTCTGCTGCAGCCACCAGCCCCTCCTGCCCTGGTGAGTCCATGGCAATTTCCACCAGGCCTGCCTGCTCCAGCAATCCCACGGGTTCTGAGTCCACAGGCCCCACCTGTCCCAGCGACCTCACAGAGACCTCCACTGGGCCCACCAGGCCTGGAGACCCCATAGGCCCAGAGCTCACCAGCCCAGCCTGCTCTGGAGACCCCTCAGTCTCCAGGCTTATGGTCTCCTCCTGTCCTGGTGACCCCCCAGGCCTCAGGCTTACCAGCCCCTCCTGCTCCAGAGACACCAGGGCCCCCATGCCAACTGTCCTGTCCTGTTCTGGAGACCCTATGGGACCCGTCAGAGAGGCCCCCGATTGCTCTGGTGCCTCTGCAAAGCCCACGGCCACAGTCCCTACACCCTTTAGTGCCTTCACCAGTCCTCCAGCCTCTCCTGTCCCCAACTTGGACAGGTGGTCCCCTCCACTGGTGTCTTCAGCAAGATCCTCGGGCTCCAGGATGTCGTAGTGGGGAACAAGGCTCAGCTGTGAGCCCTGCAACCAGTGGTCCCGCTGCAGCACCCGTTCAGCCACTTGGAAGAAGGGAGAGGACAGAGAACCCATCAGGTGTCTGCAGGAGAGGGTGGGCTGGGTCCACGCAGCCCCACTCACCCTGCCACTGCTGGAAGGAGACGACAGTGCCCAGCTGCCTGGGCAGGCTGCGCAGGCCCTGCAGGGGCCCCCCGCCGCTTCGACGCTCATTCTCCAAGTACAGCTCCAGCAGCAGCAGGTCCACAGAGAGGGCAGCCCCCACCACGCGCACTGCTTGGGCCTGGGGCACCCAGGCCAGGGACACCGAGGCCCCCTCCAGGCTCAGATTCCGGGCCTGTTCCTCCAGGGCATGGATTTCTGTGGAGAGCGCACTAGTTGGCTCAGGGCACCTCCCTGTACCAGCACCTCAGCCCCAATCCCGCCTCTCACCTGCCTCAGAAAGGGGCTCGGGCAGCTGGACCAGGGCCCGGTCTGGCCGAGGGCTGGCCAGGGCACAGCAGGGCTGCACCGGGTGCCCTGCAGCACGCAGCAGAGCCTGGACATGCTGCTCCAGGCGTGGGGGTGCAATGCCGGGGGGCAGTCCTTGGAGCAGCAGACGTGCAGGAGCGCGAGGCGGGGCTGGCCGCAGGCTCAGCCGGGCGCCGTGTAGTTCATGCTCTGTCTGGGCCAAGACCCTCTCAGCGTCTGTGGGCACAGGCAGGGCAGGGCAGAGCAGCCTTCAGGTCAGGGCTTCGGGGCCATCAGCGCAGGCAGGCTGCCCCTTTCTGCCAGCCCTCTCACCTGCGGGCTCTCGAAAGGTGATGATGCCCCCACAGCCAAGTCTCTGCCAGCTCAACACAGGTCCCCCACCAGAGCGTCGGCGGTTCTCAAAGTAGAGGGTGAGCAGCTCGTCGGGCACATCGGGTGGCAGTCCACAGAGCTCCACTGCCGCCCCCGCCCCGGCCCCCGCCTCCTCCACCATCGCAATCCTGGGATGGGCCACATGGGTAGAAAAGTGGCAGATCCACCCCTCCTGCCCCCTCCCCAGGCTGCTCCTCAGCCCTCCCTCTGCTCCCCGGTGTGGGCGGCCCCACCTCCCGCACTTACACCTCTCCTGCCACTGGGCACTCACACGCCTGCCCCTCGGGTGCTTCTTGCTCCACAGGAAGAAGGGACAGGAAAACAAAAGTGAAACTGAATAAGGGAAGGAGGGAGGGAGGGGCCGGGCCAGGGCACTGGGGCCTGGCTACTGCGGCTCAGGTTCTTCCTCCCCTGCTGGGCCTCAACCCCCAGGCAAATAGGAGGTGTTGGTTGGGCCCCTCAGGATCCCGCTGCCAGCCCAGCCCACCGACCCCATCTGGCCCACTCCACCACTGGCTGGCAGAGTGCACTGAGTGTCCTCTGTCAGTCCTCCCCTCTTCTGGCCTCTCTCCCTGTGGTCTTGAAATGGCCAATCACCCTCCCCACTAAATCCACCAAGGGCCCTGAGTCACTGCCCCCCAGCTCGGGGTCTCCAAGCCTCTGTGTCACCCCCACCCTCTGCATGAGTAGTGTGGGGTCTCCAGACCTGCCACTGGTGGAGGCTGGCTTTCGACTCCTGCCTGCAACTTCCCAAACCATGCTCCTGGGCCTTCACATCTACCAGATGGCCGGGCCACATAAGTCCTAGGTGCTGGGTATGAGCGACTCTCACCCTTAACCTACAAGAGCACAGCCTTCCTCTTGCCTCCTCCATTCCCTGTTGCCGCCCCTTCCCATGGCACTGTCACCAGCCTGCACACCTGCCCAGCCCTCCCATCGTACACTACCATCATCTTCACCACCATGGCTAACCCCAGGAGGTGAAGGGCACCATGCTGCTGCACCCTGCTTCCGCTAATCTTTGCCCCAGAGGGGAAACGGAGGAACAGACGGGGTCCACAGCAGCGCCAGGCCTCATGCCCAGGCTGTGCCTTTAGAATCTATACTCCCATCGCCTTAGCTCTGTTTGCTTCTAGACTCTCTAAGACTTGTGCCCACTACTGCTCTCCGGGCCCCCTCCCATTTGGCCCTCAGCCCACCGAAACCCAGCCCCACCCCTGATGTTCCTCCAGGGGGCTGAAGACCCACCCGAGCCTGCACCCCAGCCCTGCACACCTGGCACCTCTGCTGCTCCCACCCTGGTCCAGATTCCAGCATCGCTCGCTGGATTGCACTGAGCCCTCTCTGCCACTCCTGCACCCATGCTAGTTCTTAGTGTCCATAGCAATGACAGCTAAAGTCCTTTGAGGGCCTGCCGAGCTCCACCTGCCCAGGCCCCAGGCCCCTCTCTAATGCCCACGCTCCCCTTCCCCACCCCCCACGCTGTTGGCTCCAGCCTCCCTGACCTCTCAGCTCTCCTCCAGAGCTGCGGGCTGCTCCCACCTCAGGGCCTTGCCCTGGCCCTTCTCTCTGCTTGGGCTGGCTCTGTCCATGGAGCCTCAAGGCCATCCCTCTCCTGTAATCCCCCATACCTGGCTCTTGGTGGCGGATTTAACATAACCTAAAAACTCTTTTTTTTTTTGTCTTTTGTCTTTTTTGTTCCGTGTCCGGCAACGGATCGCAACCCTCAGTGTTGCCCCCGTATCATACCAGGGACCGGCAACGGGATTGCAAACCTCGGTGTTGCTCCCACGCCTCGCTCAGCCAGTGAGCGGGAGCCGGTCTGTATGTGGGATCCGAACCCTCGGGCGGCAGCGCTGCCGCGCCTCCCCAGCGGCGCACTATCCAGTGCGCCCCCGGGCCGGCCCCTCATAACCTAAAAACTCTTTTTTTTTTTGTCTTTTGTCTTTTTTGTTCCGTGTCCGGCAACGGATCGCAACCCTCAGTGTTGCCCCCGTATCATACCAGGGACCGGCAACGGGATTGCAAACCTCGGTGTTGCTCCCACGCCTCGCTCAGCCAGTGAGCGGGAGCCGGTCTGTATGTGGGATCCGAACCCTCGGGCGGCAGCGCTGCCGCGCCTCCCCAGCGGCGCACTATCCAGTGCGCCCCCGGGCCGGCCCCTCATAACCTAAAAACTCTTTTTTTTTTTGTCTTTTGTCTTTTTTGTTCCGTGTCCGGCAACGGATCGCAACCCTCAGTGTTGCCCCCGTATCATACCAGGGACCGGCAACGGGATTGCAAACCTCGGTGTTGCTCCCACGCCTCGCTCAGCCAGTGAGCGGGAGCCGGTCTGTATGTGGGATCCGAACCCTCGGGCGGCAGCGCTGCCGCGCCTCCCAAGCGGCGCACTATCCAGTGCGCCACTGGGCCGGCCCATCATAACCTAAAAACTCTTAAGGACCTCTTACTTGTAAGGGCCCCTTCCAGAACTCTGGACTCAACTTTGTATTTGTCATTTTATTTTTCTTAAAGAAGGTCCATCAAATTGTATAAGCTTCTGGTTCTACAAAACCTAAATCTGTCCCTGCCTGCCGTACTTTCCACACTGTACACAATACGCTTATCATGTATACTTATTGCGTATGAACACAGTATTACTAGCCCTGCCTATACCGGCTATAGAGGGTCTGCCACAGGCAGTGGTGCACTGGACCAGCTCGCACCACGACCAGGCCTGCGAGAGGACACCATCCGAGAGCCAGGCCCAGCAAGGTCCCAAGGCCCCAGGTGGAGAGGTGCTGCTGCGGAGGACCTGGAGACCACAGCAGGGCACGGCCTGCCTATGGCGGTCAGCACATCCTCAGGAGGAGCCGCGAGCTAAGGCGAGAGCTGCCCTGAGTCCTTAGAGTCGGGCTCTATCTAAGCCTCAGCCCACTCAGCTGCGAATGTGAAGATAGTACGACGCATGGCAGTTCGGTCTCAACGACTACAGACAGAATGGGGCGATCAAACCATTAGGCCTCTTGATTTAGGATAGACTTATATGAAAAGGGAGAGTGACTGCTGTGTTTTAAGGCCAAGAAAGAATGGCAGTTCCAGCAAATCCCAGATTTAGGAATAAATTCTTAATTCCTGGACGGCGAGCCAAATCGTCCAGACCCGGCCTCTGCCTCCAAGAGTCTCCAGCTCCCACGGCACGACCCCACCCCTCGGCAGGCACTGCGGGGCGCGGACCTCGGGCCTGGGACCAAGGCAGGACACAGCGGCGGGGATACAGGCGGGGCCGGGCGACTGCGGTCAGCGCGGAAGTGCCGGCCTTCCAGCCAGGCCCCGCCCCGCAGCGAGGCCCCGCCCTAGCCTACCCACCCCGCCCGCA